AACTCCAAGTGCTTGAAGTTGATAACTCCAAGTGCTTGAAGTTGATAACTCCAAGTGCTTGAAGTTGATAACTCCAAGTGCTTGAAGTTGATAACTCCAAATGCTTGAAGTTGATAACTCCAAGTGCTTAAAGTTGATAACTCCAAGTACTTGAAGTTGATAACTTCAAGTGCTTGAAGTTGATAACTCCAAGTGCTTGAAGTAGATAACTACAAGTGCTTGAAGTTGATAACTCCAAGTGCTTGAAGTTGATAACTTCAATTGCTTGAAGTTGATAACTTCAAGTGCTTGAAGTTGATAACTTCAAGTGCTTGAAGTTGATAACTTCAAGTGCTTGAAGTTGATAACTTCAAGTATTTGAAGTTGATAACTCCAAGTGTTTGAAGTTGATAACTTCAAGTGTTTGAAGTTGTTAATTTCAAGTGCTTGAAGTTGATAACTCCAAGTGCTTGAAGTAGATAACTCCAAGTGCTTGAAGTTGATAACTCCAAGTGCTTAAAGTTGATAACTTCAAGTATTTGAAGATGATAACTCCAAGTGTTTGAAGTTGATAACTCCAAGTGTTTGAAGTTGTTAATTTCAAGTGCTTGAAGTTGATAACTTTAAGCCTTGAAGTTGTTAACTTCAAGCACTTGAAGTTATTTATTACAAACACTTGAAGTTATTTACTACAAACACTTAAAGTTGATAACTTCAAGTATTTGAAGTTTATAACTTCTAGTACTTTAAGTTGTTGACTCTAAACATTTAATATTTTTAGTCAAATCATGTAAATTTGTTAAGTTCATATATTAATGATTATTATCTAAAATTGCTAACTTTATATACTTGAAGTTGTTAATTTCAAGTACTTGAAGTTGTTAAATCAAGTAATCAAAGTTGGTATATTCAAGTTATTAACTATATGCTCTTATAGTTATTAAGTTGAAGTTTTTAAAGTTGTTAATTACAAGCTATACTATAAGTACTTAAAGTTATTAACTTCAAGTACTTGAAGTTATTAATTTCAAGTGTTTGAAGTTGTTAATTTCAAGTACTTGAAGTTGTTAACTTCAAGTACTTGAAGTTGTTAACTTCAAGCACTCAAAGTTGTTAACTACAAGAGCTTAAAGTTGTTAACTCCAAGTAATTGAAGTTGTTAACTCCAAGTAATTGAAGTTATTAACTTCAGGTGTTTGAAGTTGTTAACTTTAAATTTCTGAAGTTGTTAACTCCAAACACTTGAAGTTGTTAATTCCAAACATTTAAAGTTGTTAACTCCAAGTGTTTGAAGTTGTTAACTTCAAGTACTTAAAATTGTTAACTCCAAACACTTGAAGTTGTTAACTCCAGTGCTTGAAGTTGTTAACTTCAAGTACTTGAAGTTGTTAACTCCAAGCACTTGAAGTTTTTGAAGTTGTTAACTCCAAGCACTTGAAGTTGTTGTCTCTAAACACTTAATAATTTTAAACAAAGAAAATAAATTTGTTAAATTTATATAAAAAGATTATTATTTGAAGTTGCTAACTTTATATACTTGAAGTTGTTAATTTTAAGTGCTTGAAGTTGTTAAATTCAAGTAATCAAAGTTGGTACCTTCAAGTTATTAACTATAAGCAATTATAGTTGTTAACTCCAAGTTCTTAAAGTTGTTAATTACAAGTTGTTTACTATAAGTACTTAAAGTATTAACTTCAAGTGCTTGAAATTGTTAACTTTAAATTCCTGAAGTTGTTAACATTAAGCACTTGAAGTTGTTAATTTCATATGCTTGAAGTTGTTAACTCTAAGTGCTTGAAGTTGTTAACTTCAAGTGCTTGAAAATGTTAACTCAAGTACTTGAAGTTGTTAACTCCAAATGCTTGAAGTTGTTAACTTCAAACACTTAAAGTTGTTAACTCCAAGAGCTTGAAGTTGTTAACTCCAAGCACTTGGAGTTGTTAACTTTAAATTCCTGAAGTTTTTAACTTCAAGTGCTTGAAATTGTTAACTCCAAGTGCTTAAAGTTGTTAATTTCAAGCATTTGAAGTTGTTAACTTTAAGTACTTGAAGTTGTTAACTTCAAGTGCTTGAAATTGTTAACTCCAAGCACTTGAAGTTATTAATTTCAAGACGTGAAGTTGTCAACTCCAAGTACTTGAAGTTGTTAACTCCATGTGCTTGAAGTTATTGACTCCAAATGATTGAAGTTATTAATACTAAACCTTGAAGTTGATATTACTACATGTATTTGAGTGTCAAACAAATATTTAATTTTGCTAAGTACTAAGTATTTCTTATTTTTTAATACAGTAGCAAAAAGAATTAAAAGAAGCATAAATAAATAATTTGCTTAATAACAATTTTGAAATTTTTTTTTTTTATTGAAGAAAACTAAAATAATATTTTTGTTGTGCTAAAGTGCATAATCTGGTTTATTCAATTAAAGCAGTTTCATATGCCAACCCACAACTAGGGCTATTAATTAGTTTGTCTTGGTCCAAAAACTAATAGCTTTTAAAAAGTTGAACCAGACTGCAGTCCAGGATAGACCAATTATGAAACTAATTAAATGCCATATAAATTGCACTAACAAGTTAATTATCATGTATTATTTCATATTATTATTATAAACTCTATTTAAATTATTACATAAAAATTACAGAAATTTAATCTTTTCTATTATTATTAATG